TTCGTCGATCTGATCGAATAATTTTTCGTACTTTTGCCACCATTTCCACATTTCTTGATGTTGAAGGTCGTCCAGCACGAGAGTCATCATTAATGTCTTCACGACCCTCAATAAACCTTTTATGCCATTCAAATGTTTTAGASCTGCTCATCGCTTCATCTTCAAATGCTTTTTTAATCATTTCAAAAGTTTCAGTCGCTGATTTACCGAGTTTAACGCAAAATTTAATGCAAACACGCTACTCGAGTTTATTCGACATGACAAAAACGGCACACACAATAAAAGTATCTGATTTCAATGAATTTTCGTTCATTACTAACAGTTAATATTAACTCACGGCTTGAATAACGTAATTGAGTGTTATCTCTATTTTTATTTGATGTGTGTATATTCCCCATTCGATTATTTTTAGCGCAGATATAATTTTAGTCCCGGTATTTTTTGATCACACCTCGTAAATCATAAACATAAGATTTAAAGAAACTTTATTTGACATCAGAATATTAAAAGTTAAAACGTACCTTAACGTACATAATAATTAAAAAGTGAGAGACGTAACGGACTACAGTACTACACACACACAACAGTGCGGCGTCGGAGGTGGTAGGGTGGTGGTATTGCCATCCTCACCCTACAACTCGTCCATCCTGACTTAGGGCTGTCCTCAACCCAAAATTAGAAAGTTAACATACCATAACAAAAAAAATAACATAATCATAACTTAAATACATCATAAAATATCATTAGGAAAGCCTTTCCAAATATAGAATAGAGAAAGCAATAACTATAGAGATAATAAATATTTATATTATTATTTATTTTTTATTATAAGAATTCTAGTCGACGGGTATCGTCAAAATACTACGCTTTCGTCGTATCGATAATGATTTACTTTGTAGTTAGTACTATGGCTAAATTTATATATCGTTTTCCAAAAAACTGGTGATAGCTGATAGGCATAATATAGATTTATAATTTGTTGTTATAAAATGTCAATGTGTCTCACGGTATTAAGATGATAATTAAAAATCACAGGGCCCTTTAACAAGCGCGGGGCCCTGGACAAATGTCCCATTTGTCCTCCCCTAGCGCCGGCACTGGTCACATAATTTTTTGTAAATATTTTTAGCATGATTGTCTATAAAATGTTCTCCCTGGAAATATAATTTCAATGAATTAAATTGTTCAATAACTCTTTTAACACATGCTAAAATATCCAACCATCTTGTTTGCGAAGGTTGTAATAGCTTGTGTGGTTTCACCTCAACAAAACATTGAAATTCTTTATAATTAGCTTGTCGTTTGTAACTATATTTCATATAAGTATATATTTCACGAATAAGTTCTTCAACACCTATTGGTATTTTTCACATGCGTAAGAGGCGCATAGAGCTAGAGAATGGCACAGACATTTAATTACAAAAATTTGAGGGACTTCTTTTTCTAACAGTGATTTAACAGAATGGTGTTCACTGAACATTACGTTTGCCCCATCAGACGCAAAACCAACTAAATTTTTTTTATACGGTACGTTCATTTCGTTAAAAAAATTCACTACAGCATCAAATATATCTTTTGCTGAGGCTTTTGGTACTTTAATAAGTGCCGCAAACTCATCTTTAACATCGTAACTCAAACTATCTACTATGCGGGTAATAATAGCCAGGTGTTTGACACTAGATTTATCAGTAGATTCATCTATCATAATAGAAAATATGTTAGTTTTCATTCTTTCAATTAAGTTAACACTGCCATGTTTACCAATTACGTTACACACGATAGCAGTAGCTTTTGTCCTATTACACGATATATTTTTAACAACATCCGATTCAGGGCATATACTTTTAAATAATGATATGAGATGGTCAGAAGTTCGGATAGCAATATTGTGTTCAATTATAAACATTGAAAGACGAATTTCAGCTTCTTTTGATTTTGTTTGAAGTTTAGAGGCTTTATGAAACACGGGATTTTTGTTAATTGGAATAATATTTTTTCTAGAATTAGCAATCGATAAATGTGATTCAGCTTTCGCATGTTTTTTCACAGCTGATATGCCTCCATGATAATCTTTTTTACAAACCGTACACGAAAAATAAGTGTCACCTTTTATAYTTTTAGCAAGCCATAATTGAAATTCAGTTTTTGTCAGCCATTCGTTACGGAATTTATGAACAAACTTTCTTTTTGTACCCAAATTTGGAGAAAAGTTTTTTCTTTTTAACTGTGTAGCTTCTTCAGAGCTACTGAAGCCACAGTCTGAATCTGACATACTAAGACAAATAGAACAATAATTTAAATAAAATGAAAGTCTAAACAAGTGTTTTTGTACATAACAATTTAACGCGTTATATAGGTAGTTGATATTTTAATAGTTAAATAGTATTAAATAATATTTTAAATAATTAATTACCTTTAATATTTTATCTTACTCTTCRCTTATGTAAATAGAGCTAATAAAGAAGAAAGAACTGTTGACTGTTGTTAAAACTTCAATTAAGGATATTAAGTGTTAACAAAAATATCTTGAATTTACTACAACTGTCTACTAAACGTGAACGTCCAAACTACTTTTACAGTTCTACATATTATTGTATGTTCTTTATTATAGTAAAAGTAATAAACAAAGTTAAGTCATGGAAAAATATTTATAAAGGTTAATACATAATAATATTATCATGATTTTTAGATTATAATATTATTGATTGATTTTATATAATAAAATTAAATCTATGGTCGTATATAAAACGTGGGTCCCTACAATCTATTTATAGATACTTGTAAATACTATTTACACCGATTATATCTTGTAGCCCGTTACTACTACCCCACCATGGTACATTCATAATCACTACAATACAAACATCTTACGAGCTACAGTGTGTCGATGTTACAAAGTTTCATAATACACATTATACAGTACAGAATATCATATTTTATTTTGTGATAATAGCATCAGATTATACAATTAACACGGACCACGACAGACATAAAATACATAAATATATATCTTGGTCCGTTATATTAAATGAAATAATATTATCATATAATCTATGATAGTACGGACTAAGGTTATCTTCAATCGTCGATGAGAAATACAAGATTTTCAAGAAGAAAAACTTAACTTAAAACCGATACGAATCTGTACACTAAAATTTTAAATATTAAAATATACTACAAATTTAACAAAAAATCCTCAAATTTTCCCCACAATTGACAAATCCCCAACATTTTCCTCAATTTATAAAATTATGTCAAAAAATCCCCAAATTGGGGRAAAATCTCCACACCTGGCAACACTGATCTCCCGCGATCACTACGCGCGGCCCGCGTCGCGTAGA